CGAGGGCGGCAGCGGCTGCGCCCGGTCCCGCCAGCTCCGCGGTGCGCCGGGGTCGGGGCTGCGCTCCCGGTGCCGCCGGCGGCTCTCGCAGGGTCCCCCCGGGCCACTTGGCTACTGGTTTGTGGCCAGATCTGATGGCGGCTCCATGAGGAGTCTCTTGAAGAGAGTGGGAAAGCCGGGATGGAGCCACCTTGGTGCTTTGGGAAGGGAGAGTCCAGGAGCTGCTTCCCTGGGAGGCCTCTGCTAGCAGGGTCCCGGCAGCACAGGTGTCACTGTCCTTGTTGCGTGGCCTGGGAGAGCTCTCCGGGGATCCCGCAGTGCCCGGATGGGTTGGCCAAGCCGAGGTGATCCCACTCTTGCTTCTAGAGACACCCCAGTCGGCAGCTATTGCTGTGTCTTGGTTACAGCTGAAACCTGCGAATCTCCTGGATTTGTTTGTTTCGCTGCTGGTGTCATGAGCAAGAAGATATTTTATGTGTTTTAATTTGCCTCATGGAGGAAGTGGTTTCTGCTCCGCTGGGCCCTGTGGTCAAGTTTAATAAAAATCTTTCTAGTCTAACATATAACACAGGATGTCATTCATTAAACTGGCAGGCTGGCACGGCCGACTGGTCAGCCTGAGTTACTGGTGAGCAGTCAGTGAATAAAACTCAGATACAAACGCTTAGTCCAAAAAGAGCTCAGTAGTAAAGTTATGACCTCCGTCACCTTGTGCTGCTAGGGTTGAGTTCAGGTCGATCTGGTGACAGTAAAATCTTTGGCCACTGACTCAGGAATGAATTAGCTTTGTTTTCAGGGCTTGGCAGCTTAGCTATAGATAAGGTTTGAGTGTCTGAATCTCCAGTTCGCCCTTAAACGTGTCTGAGGTGCCAGTTTGCAGCTGTGCTGGTTGTTCTGGGCCTGGATGGTGCTGCCTGGGTTGCTTCCCCTGCTGCAAGACAGAGCACTGGACTCAGTGGGGTGGCCTGAAGCTGCGATGGGGACGGGCAGAGCTCAGGGCTGTGATGTGCCCAAACCACCCAGCTCCAGCCTGAGCCGTGGCCGCAGGTCAGGCTCCCAGGTCGCTGTTGGAACCTGCTCCGCGTGGCTGTCCCAGTTGTGGCAGGTGCTCTGGCTCCCAGTTGCGCTAATGGGGAGCTTGTGGTGCAGGTGGCATCACCCTGGGAGCCGCTGCGCAGCTCTAACGAGCTTGGTGTGCAGCTCGGCCACCCCGGGGATCTGCTGCGCTGTTTGTCTTGGCTGTCCTGAGCCAAGCTCCATTTGCTGTAAGCATCGTGTTTGCCTTGGCCAGGGGAAACTTTGGGGAGGTTCTGCCTTGATAACAACCGTGTCTAAATGCGTCCGTTCCCCTAAGGAACGGAGGGTGAAGGTCGGTCGTGCCAACCTCTGACCATCCTCATCCTTGTACAGAGCAAGGAGCCTTTGGCTCGCCCAACACAAAAGCACCAGCCGTGAAGAGCACATGTTGTCCCACCTGCCCGAGAGCTGCTGGCATCAAAGGGAGGCTAAAGGTGACTGCTTTACCTAGTGCTTTGTTAACACTTTAGTTCTTCGGTGTTTCTGTGGGAGTTTGCAAGAGCTGCAGGGTAGAGAAGGAGAACTTGGAGCTGAAGGCAAAGTTTGCTGGTTTAGCCTACGTCCGCCTTCTTGGGTTTGAGAATTAGAGGAAGATGGTAAAGACTGTATTTGCATTTCCTTTAGTGAGCGAGATGGCTTTTCTGCTCTAAGGCAGCACTTCCCTGGGCTTCTGCAGTTGTTTTGCATGGGGTGTGCAGAAATGAGATGTTGGCTTGTTCCTCTGAGTCCTGAAGTCTCCTAGGATGTGGAGCAGGAGGCTCAAGGACAGCGTTGGTGCTGTGATCTTGCCATGGCTGACATAGACTTTGGTGCTTACAAGTGAAAACCAGCGCCCTTAATGCTTCAGCTTCTTGCTGGCCAAAATCTGGTCGTTATTCGATCTGGTCTGGGCTCTTGTGGCCTTTCCCTGCTTTGCTCGGAAGCAGGGGGAGGAAGAGGCTGTCCTGGAAGTGCCTCCCTGTGGAAGTGCCCGTGCTCAGCCCCCCAGGCACAGCCGGCGCAGGGGCAGCAGCTCTGTTCTGCTCGGTCGCAGGTGTCACCGCTGGGGCTTGGTGGCAGCGGCACCGCAGCCCCTTGCGGCTCCGCGTGGCCCTGGCTCCGCGTGGCCCCTGCAGTGCCGGGTGTCCCCTCTCCGCAGAGCCTCCCAGGGCGTTCTGCTCCAGGAGCCCGGAGCAATTATCCTCCAGCCGCAGCGCCGGCGCTCGGGATGACAGCGCCGTGGAGCTGGCAGCCGCCCCCTCGCCAGCGCTGCCACTACGCTCGCTGCCTACACGTGCAGTAATTGCCGAGGGAGCCCGCGCCTCCGCCAGCGCCATCCCACCTTCCCGCTCGCTGATTCATCCCCGTGGCCCTCGCTGTGCAGCTGGGGCAGAGCGGGGCGCGAAGCCCCTGCCCTGGGTCAGGGCTCGGGGGGGATGCAGCCCCCGCACGTGGGCTCCTCGTGGGCGCCCAGCTCCGCTCCCGCAAACGGGAAGCAGTGGCCCCGGTGCAGAACCGCCCGTGTGTGCACAGCAGGGCCTGTCAGTGCTTCCTCCTCTCCCGAGGACGCGTCCGCCTCATCCATGGCGGATTAGATTATCGCACTTTATCATCTAATTTCCATTTCATTTTAAAGCTATTTCTTCATGTGGAAGATTGTTTTGCAATGGCGTATGAATAGCTCTGCCTTTGAAGAAAGGTTTGCTTAAAAACACCCCAAACCCAGAACCCAATTTTCTCACCCATCGGCAGGTGCGATTTCTGAGAGTCATTTGTCGCACATCAGATGTAATAAATGTTATTGCCAGCACAACAGCCTCTTGCCTCATTATCTCCCAGTCCGGAGGGAAGGGGAGACTTTCTGATTCGAGTGAATCAGAAGGGAAATGGTGGGTGGTTGGTGTTTGGCAGCAGGGAGAAAATGTGCTGTGACTGAAGACCAAGGAGGTGGCCCCAGAAGTCACCGTGCCACCCCCTGGTTTTGGGCACTCGGGCTCTCCTGCAGCTTGGGGCACAGGGCACTGGGTGCTCATGCACCTTGGGAGTGGGAAAGGGCTTTTCTGGGGCTCTGCTGACCTGTGGTGGTGGTGATGATGGTCGGGACCTGTGGGCATTGGCCCCTCTGCCGCTTGTGGCTGCTGTGCTGCTGACTGCAGCGTGTCACAGGGTGAGACCAGGATTGTCCCTTAGCGGCAGGACCCGGCTGGTGGGTTTATAGAGCTGCAAAAGCGGGTTATCCCTGTGGGCTGTGCAGCTTGTCTGCCCTGAGGCTCTGCGCTCCCTGGCCGCTCTGCAGGGTCGCAGGGGCCCCTTGGCACTGCCCCTTGGCACTGCGGTGGCAGCGCCGGCTGCGGCTCCTCCCGCTGCCGCCCTGTGCTCTCCGACTTCTGCTGGGATGATGCATCTCAAAACTGCCAGAACTTGCGTAGCGGGATGTGCTACGAGGAAGTTTGGCCTCTTGTCTGAGGCGGCCCCGGTTGCTTCCCCCGTGGTGTGCAGCAGAGGCAGCGCTGTTGGGGCCGGGGGCCCCGGCTTTGCCTCCGCTGCCCTGCTGTGTGGGTGCTGCTCCCGCTGCAGGGCCCGGGCGGCCTCGGCCGCTGCCCTGCGGGTCTCCTGGAGCCGTTGCCTGGCCGGGCTGAGCCTCTCGCGGGAGGCAGCGGGTCCTGGGGTCTGGTGCTTCTCATGCTGGTGCCTCGGGTCCCCTCTCCAGCCCTGCCGCTGGTCACGGAGGCATCTCCCGCATTGGTGCTCCATGCGGGTCCATCTCGGCCTTAGCCCGAGCCCAAATACCCACCGTGAGAGCCGCTCGAGTCCCGAATCCAGCTTCCTCCCCCTCCACCCCGGAGCGGGTGGATATTAAGTGGCTTTAGGCAGGAGCTCTGGTTCTTGTTTGCTCTCCTGGCGTCCACTGCTCATGGACTTTGTCCTGTAGAGATTGTCCTGAGCCGCGGTCACGCTGCCCGGCTTTGGGCCGGGGTCCCGTGGGGCTGCTGGGGGTGTGGGGCTCCTAGGCCATGGGCGCCTGCTCAGAGCGGGCTGGGGGGCGCAGGGGCGGCTGCTCCCGCTGGAAGCGCTCGCTCTGCATGGAGCATTGGTGGCCGCCAGGATTTGGGGCTTACGTAACCTCCGCGGGTGCTCCCGTGGGCAGTTGTGGTGCCGAGAGTGACTGGGTGCAGCAGGAGCCTCGAGCGGCCGCTCGGTCTCCTAAAACACCAGAGCTCCGACCTCAAGGCACAGGGCAGGGAAGCAGCAGTGGGGTTTGCTTGGGCATTAAATATTTATATGGAAGTAATGAAAGGTGCTGCTGAGGCGGAGTGACCCATTTAGCAGCCCCACTGCCTTAGGGCCGCTCCCGTAGTGCTGTGCGGCGCAGGGAGGTCCCGGGGTGCTGCCCGGCTGGCACGGTCACACTTGGGCTGTGCAATCCCTGCAAGCAGGTACCCTGCATGTGCCCTGCACGTGGTGGCAGCGGCAGCAGCGCCCCGAGCTGCACACAGCACAGCACGTGCTGCAGGTGCTCATCCCGACTGGTTGGGCCCAATGTGGAGCCTCTTCCTGCTCCCCTGCGGTGTCTGGCATCCCTGGCTCCCACAGGATCCGGAGCAGCCCTTTCCCTGGCCAGTGACCGCCCTGTCCTCGTGGATGGAGCCCCAGCTGGCGCTTCATTTCCCTTCTCCGTGCTCCACCTCAGAAGCACCTTGTGGATGGCAGTGCTGGAGCGCAGGGGAGTCGCGCAGCCCCTTCCCTCCCGGGAGGTTTGCAGCGCTGTGGCGCGCGCCGAGGCTGTGGGTTGTGCTGGGGAGGCCGGACGCGGACACGGGCTCCAGCTGCCTTCTCGCAGGGCTGAGACGTCTCCTCCTGGGCTGCCTGCGGAGCCCGTGCAGCAGCAGGTCCCTGTCCGCTGTCACCGGAGACGCACGGTGCCCTTTGACAGGGGGAAACTTATTTCCTCTTGACTCTTCTCCCCCTCTCCCACTCCGCGGAGCTGCGTCCTGGAGACCTCGTGCTTGGCATTAGGTTCATTTTTGGCAGCTGAATAAAGCCCGCGCGGTGCCGGGGAGCTGAGCGGCATTACCCGGCGACCAAAGCAAAGCAGCTGCCGGGGGCTGCTCCGCGGAATTGTTTTTAACCTCTGCCTGGGCAGCGTGAGGAAGGCAAACAACTTGCGGTGGTGCTGATGGAGCAGAATGTGAGGGAGAATGAGATTTGCTTTCATTACCCGATTCTGCTGAATGTTGGCTTTGCTGCTCTGTCCTGCAAATCTGGTTTTGCCTTCTCGCCAGCTCGAGGAAACCTCCCCTGAAACAAGCACGGGTGTTTCTAACCCCAGTGCTTTGTAAGGGGCAGCGCTGGGCGGAATCCTTGGCCTAAGTCATTTCTTTGAATTATTTTTACTGAAGTTCTCTGTTGTTGCAAGGTGGAGAAAGGCACCTTGGTGCCGGGGGCTGCGTGCCCGGTGCTCGTTCCCGCTCTGCCGGTGCCCGCCGCGGTCGGTGTTGCGACACGGGGCACGACGAGGAGGCTGCAGTGTTTTTGCAGGAGCAGGACGCTCCTGTTTGCTCAGCGGTTACACAAGGCAAGGCCTCCCCTGCCTGGCAGCTTCCCGGGCCCTGCCGGGGTGCGGGTGCCCGGGGGCTCGGGTGGCTTCTCCCCGCCGTGGGGGAGCCGGTGCAGACCTGGTGCAGCCCAGGTAGCTCCTTGGAAGCCGAACGTGAGGTGGGAGCGGCAGAGCCTCCTCGGCAGCGTTAATTAACATCTGTGCGATTGTCTCCTGCAATTACGGAAAACAGCTCATTACGTGGCCTGTTGGTGCAGGTTCATTTTCCCCTTCGGAGCCGAGTGCGTTCCCGAGCTGCACGGTGCCGTCCCGCGGGCACGCGGCTCGCCCGGGGCTGCAGAGCTCCAGCGGGCTCCAGGTCCGGCCCGGGGTTCCCGGGATGTCCTGCCCTTCGCAGGGCCGCGGGAGCCCGCAGGCCGCGGGGAGGGCTGCAGGAAGCCGCTGCGGAGGCATCCCGGCCTCGTCGGCGTTGGGGACAATGGTGTTCAGTCCATTGTTGTGTCTGCGCCATGGAAGCGACCGGAACCGCTGCATTCCCCAAGGAGCAGGAAGCAGGGACGGGAGATCAAAATGCCCCGGCAGAAAATAAGCTCTCCAGTGCAGGGCCAGCGTCGGAGGAGGTGACAGATGCTTAATCAGCTTATTGGGCACCAGCGCGTGTCTGTCACCTTCCTGCCCCGGCCGGAGCCCCGGGCAGCCCAAAGAGCTCCCGCGGGTCTGGGACCCCAACCCTGGTGTCCCCTGGGGCCCCTTGGTCCTGCCAAGACCCCTTGGTGTCTGTGATCCGATTGTGCCTTCCCCATCGCCCGTGTCCTACGTTGGATAAGGACCTGAAGGTGAAGGGTGGAAACGGCTCCCTGCTGTCGGTGTCTTGTGACACCTTCGCTGCGGTGCTCTGGGCAGCTGGGACGTGTCAGCGGCTGTTTGAGAGCAGGGGCTGACTGTGCACGGCTTTACCAAGCCCCGGTGCCGGGCTCGGGGTCCCCGCGGTGCCGGGCTGGGGTCCCCGCGGTGCCGGGCTGGGGTCCCCGCGGTGCCGGGCTCGGGGTCCCCGCGGTGCCGGGCTCGGGGTCCCCGCGGTGCCGGGCTCGGGGTCCCCGCGGTGCCGGGCTCGGGGTCCCCGCGGCTGCCCCGCGCGGCCGCCTGGCAGAACGGGGCCCCTCGGCTTCCCTGGCCCTCCGGATCCGGGTGTTTCTGACTGGGGCTCGGGGCGACCCGGCTGCCTCTGCGCCGCCCCGCGGGCGCTTTGGGTCCCTTTGTCCAAAATGAAAGGATATTGGCTCTTCCGTGTCTCCCTCGGAAGGGTGTTCGCAAAGGAGACTAGGTTAGACCAGGCCCCTCAGTGCAGGACGAGCATCCTCCTGCAGCCCTGCTCGTCCTCTCCGCCCGTGCCTCATCTCCGTGTTCTTTTGCTTCCTCTAGACAATCATGGAGCAGTTCAATCCCAGCCTCAGGAATTTCATTTCTATGGGGAAGACCTACGAAAAAGCCTTAGCAAGTAAGTGGAATTGCCCTGCTGGGGCGTTTATTGCTTTATTCCCTGTGAGGGTACCTGGGTGCAACGGGGCAGCATCACCCCCAGCTCGGGAGGCTCCTTTCCATGGGAAGCGAAGGGAGGGGAGTGTGGGGACAGGTCCAAACATCAACATCAGCTCATCCCATTGACCTGCTGGAGAGGCACAGGGGAGATGTCCTGGGCAGGGTGGTGGGAAGGGTTTGAGCAGTGAAATGGTGGCTGGCAACTGGGTGACAAACATTTCCAGTCCACAAAGCTTCTCTGTATTTAAATATTTACAAATCTTCAGAATTAAGGCTTTATTTCCACTAAAAGGTTAAACGTGAGAGTGCTCAGGCGCTTTGGAGGAGCAAGTCCTAACAGAGGGCTCTCAATTTGGAAGAGTGGGTCCTTTTGGGAGCCATTACAGAGATGTAGACTTAACTGATTAAAAGTCAATTGAATTGATAAAAAAACAAAACGGGATTATCTGACTGAAAATGACTTCCCATACCACTTCGTCCCAATTTAGCTCGATTCTGATCTGCATGTTTTAAGGAAGGCTTCATTTGGCCGTACAGTAAGTTTTGCTTCAGAGAGGCTGCTGTTCCCTTCAGAAAACTGCATTGCACATGTCTCTTGGATTTTGTTTTTTTAAATTGGTTCAGTGAAAATGCCTCTAAGGGAAAAGGCTGTCATAATCTTAAGCCAGTGGAAAAAAAATACTTGATCTGCTGTTTCTAAATAATGGTGTTTGAAATATGACCTTTAGGATGAATCTGTGTTCTTGTTTTGTGCCTGGAGCCAGTTTTATTTCCACAAGTCAAACAAGGTTCCTCAATGTCTTCATGAAGTGTCTGTTCAGCTGCAGCCTCCTGCCTTTCCCAGGTGCAGATGCTCCCTGTGCCAGTGCATTTGTTTCCTGCTAGTTTAGTGGTGTTCTTAAGTGGGTTTTAATGGGTCGGCTTCCAAGGGGTGGAAGTGCATCCATCTGAACCATGCACAGGGATCCAGGCTCCGCTTGCTCTCCTGAGCCCTGGCCCAACTCTGCAGCAGTTTCCCAGCCGTGTTAAATGCTGCTAACGAACCTGGCCTTGCAGGTCGGGTGCTCTTTGGCTTCCCGGTCCCTGCTCAGCCTCCTGCAGCAGCGAAGCAGTTAGATTTCCCTGGGGAGGAGAAGCAGGATTTGAACAGGAGGAGGAAAGATTGCACCAGGGACTGAGGGTTTTATCCTGCAACATTATACTGATAATGCATCTTCTAATAACTTAGGTGCTGCTGCCTCTTTATAATGCACCTTTTTTGTCTGCGTTTGAAGACAGGCACGCTGCTACTTCACCGCCCCTTGCTGTAAACCAAATGTTTTCTTTTTTTTTTGGTCATCCCTTATTTTGGATCGTGGAGCTGGTGGAGGCATCCAAAGGAAGCGACCTCCTCAGTAACTCCTGCTGGAAGAGGCTTCAGCACTTAATTTGATGCCGAGGAGCAAAAGCTGTACAGCATGTTCTCGTGATGAGAGGAAACCCCCTGCTTATCTGATTAAAGAGAAGTGTGGAGCTGGAATGTCAACAAACAAGCCTGAACTGTAATGGAAGTCTCTGATATTCAATTATTTTGCAGTGATTTTTGTGACCAGCATTAAGCAGGCTGCTTAGTTTTACAGGAATGAAAGCCACCTAGCCTTTACATATACCTTTTTTTCTCCTAAATAACTCTCTAATCTTGCTGCAGCCTTCCTCTGTGTTCAGTGCATTCCTCCTTCAGCAGTTTTGCTCGTTTGTTGTCCTGTCCCTCCCGGTGGGGCTGAGCCTTTGAAGTGAAACCTGCGTCTGTTTTGTGCAGTGTCTAACACTGATTCGCTGCCACGGGAGCTGCAACAGCAATCAAAGAGGGTAACCTGCATTTTTTTTTGACGCTTTTAGGTATGACATATGCAGCGAAAGGATACTTTGATGCTCTGGTTAAAATGGGAGAGCTGGCCAGCGAGAGCCAAGGATCTAAAGAACTAGGTAAGTCGCTCGGTGGAGCCACAGCTCAACCAGGAGCTGCTCCTGCTTGATGGAAATGGTAGTGGAAGCATCTTTGTATTTAGCGTCACACATAAAAATTAAAGCCTGCTGCTCTTGGTCTGAGCGTTTGGGATGATGTTTGCAAAGAAGGCACGGCCAGAAGAGGCTGGGCTCTTGCGTTTTACTTTTTCCTTGCTTTATAAGTGAGCAATGCCCCAGGCCCTGGCTGGAAAGAGGAGGCTGCGCTGGCGGCCTCGCCGAGGCCGGGCGCTCCCGGGGGGCTGGCGTGCATTGGGGTTGCCACGGGGGCATCGCCAGTGCCGAGGCTCCGACTCCCTTCCCTTTCTTTTGTCTTTCCTTTGGGTAAATCATTCCGGGAGCTGCTCTTCCAGTTTTTCCTCCAGTCGCTGTTTTGTGTGCTCGTCCCCTCCAGATTCCCTCGCTCCTATTGCTCCATGCGAGCTCTGCGTGTGCCTCTGCTGTCCCCTCGTCCCGTGGGGTGCTCGGGGCCTCTCCGACCTGGGCGTTTGTGCTGAGGCGGCTTTGGGAACTAGAGGGGAACTTCTCCTCCTCCTCCTCCTCCTCCTTCTCCTCCTCCTTTCCTTCCTCCTCCTCCTCCTCCTCCTCCTCGTCTTCCTCCCGGTTCGTTGCTGGGCTCTCCTGCCACACTCCCATACCAGGGAATGGCAAGCACTATTCTGGTGGGGCCTTCACAGTGGTCATCTATAAGCAGGAGCTGGAGCTGAAATGTTCTCGAAGGCTGGTAAAGCAGTGCACAAATAACCCTTTCTTCAGCAGGGCCAGGTCTCCTTTTTACGACGTTGTTCGATACCAGCTTATTTGCAAGCCTTTAGACGGAAGCTAGTCAGGAATCTGAATTATTATTGGGGAGGCACTAGCTATCTACAGGAATCGATTTTATCACTCAGCTTAAAGCTGTGTGTAATAATCAGGGCTGTTTCATTTGGTAAGCAAACTACCTAAGGGGTGCATGCCCAGCAGTTTCCCAACATTTGTTTGTATGTGACCTGTGCATTTCTGGATTAATTTAAAATGCTTCCAGATTTCTGTGTCTTCTGCTCTTAGTTTAAAGCTCCATGGCTGGCATTTATCAAAAGCAAATGCCAGCCCGCTTTGCTCTTTCCAGACCTACAGTAAATAGCTGCTCTCTAGGCTTCTTGCTTTGTTGATCTTGCTGATATTTACAGTGGCAGCCGCTCGCCAGGATCCGTGCAGGAGAAAGGGAAGGTGGAAATTCCGGCTGAAATTCCGTATTGCTGGGAACAGGCACCTAAACCTCCCAGCCTGGCTTGAACAGGGGCTTTGCTGAGCTCACAAGAAACATTTAGACGTGGCTTAACCCAAGGCCCAGCTTTTCCTGGGGAAACCTTTAACTTATCAGCCGGCGAGGTTGCCCCTAGCGCAGGAAGCGAGCGCTCGGGCTTGGGCTTTCTGCTCTTCCGTCTGGATTATTTCATGCCATGCGAGGGGCTTTAGCAAGCAGGGATGTTTATAGCTTGCATTAATGCTGCGGGCCTGGGCTGATCCCTCTGTATGCAGATTTCCTCTGTTAACAACAGGAAAAGGGAAGCTGCTCCGAGACGCAAGGCAGGGACTCCTGGAGGGGCTTGGGACTAGCGCCTGCTGGCTGACTGCCCTTCCCGGCATCCAAGACAAAGAATCCCAGCGGCGTTTTCCTCCTTAACCCTTTCTCTTCTGAGTGCAGGTTGCCTTGCAATGCTGAGAGAGAAGGGCTTGAAAGTGTTGGGGGGAAAAATTGCAAATCCTGCACCCCGCGTGGCAGCACGGAGGTGGTGAGCGCTGAGCGTGTGCTGCGAGCGCTCCGCAGCTCCAAAGTGGCCAGCTTCATTTCCAGCATGCTGTCATCTCCTCCGTATTACTTATAACGCTAAGGAGATTGTTCTCTGATTAAGCTGAGCGCTGGAAAACTGCCCATCTGCAATCTGTCCTGAGCTCGGTGCAAATGTGCTGAATGTCCCATGGACTGAGACCTGCTGGCTCGTTTTATTTTATTCTCTTTAAATATAAATGTGTGCAATGTTGTACGTTTAATCTCCTGAAAACACTTGCTGGCCTTCCCAGTGCTGCCAGCCAGCTCGGTCCTGCCCCTGCCCTGCTCGCAGCTGCTTAGCACCCTGCGTCGCCTGCAAATTCCCCATCAGATTTCAGCAACTGTGTAGACGGGATAATCTGGTGGAGCAACAGAAAACAATAATGAAGCACTTGAGCGCTAATCGGCTCTGGCTCGAGCTTTTTGGGGTGGAAATGTCTGGCTGGGGGTACCTGTCAGAGCCCCCTTTCAGAGGCTCGTGAGACTCAAGCTCTTGTTTTTCCTCCACTAAAGTGATGTCCTGCCTGAGTGCAAGGGGAGCTGTTGGCCAGCCTTGCACGACGGCTTTGCCTGGTGCAATTGCCTGTAGTTCAGATCTTTTCTGTTTTCTGTAACCTGGGAAAATCCTGCAATATTTTGTCTGCTCTGCTTTCTGCCCTCAAACTTTCTGAAACGTTGCGGCTTGCACTGGGTGCTGCCATGGGCTCAGGGTCCAGGTGCTTTGCAATCCGGTTGCTCATCCTGGTTGCATTTGCTCGAGATCCATACATCTCAGAGCAGAGACTGTTCCTGGATGGTCCATACAGAGTATTGGTGCAGGGATAAGCTGATGGTCATGGAAGAGGATCCCTCTGGGAAGCATGGCACCAGGCAAGGGCAAGCAAAGCGAGCCCGCTCACCTTGCAGTACGAGGTGTGCCTCGTGTATAGGCAAAGGTGGAGAGAAATGCGGATTATTGGGATGTGTCCTGGGCACAGTGTGGAGGAGCCAAGGGGATGAGAGTGACTTTTGTCTTGGGGCTTTTTTTTTCCAGGGTGCTTCTGGCTCAGATAAGGCTGCTCTGACTGAAGCCAGAGCTACGAAAGAGGCAGAAACAGAGTAATTAGTTTCCCGTTGCAGAGCAGCACGAGCCTCTGCTAGATAAGGGTTTCCTTCTGATGCACAATTTGCCTGATAAAATCACAGCCCGTGTCATCCCCGAGCCACTGTCATCTGCTGAGGAGCTGCTCGGCGGCAGCGGAGGACACTGGACCTCAAGTGCTTTTAAAAATCACTGTTTTTAAAAGATTTAAGATGTTAATTGGCCTTTTGGGTGCATGTGTGCTAAACACAGCACGTGCAAGGGGTCTGCAGCCTGAGCTGGAGCACGGAGCTTGGCCCAGCTAAAAGCTAAAACCCTTTAGCTTTTTTAAAGCCCTTTTTGTAACCCTTTAGCTTTTTTAAAACCTTTTTTTAACCCTTTAGCCATGGGGCTGCTGGCAGGGCCTGGAGCAGCCCGGGGCTGTCGTGATGGGAAGGTCCTGTGGGCTCCGGGGCTGGAAGGAGCAAGTTCGGGGTGGTTTTCCCTGCAGAGCTCCTGACCTGATTCTTGTCGGGGACTTGGGCATGGTTTGAAGGCTTCATTATGCTGCGCCGAATCCTCTGGGGAGTTTTATTAATCTCCTAATTGGATTTGTAGTTGTTTCAGGTAAAGCTTCCCGCAGCAATGCAGATGCAGATATAGATGCTGCGAGAGTCAGAGGTTGTTGTGTGATGAAGTGCTTAATACGGGAGGAAGGGCAGGAGTGCCACGTGGGGGACAGGCTGGTGGGGGTCATGGTGCTAATGTGCACGCGGGCGCTTCTAGCTGAATTCCAGGAAACATTCCCATGAGGTCGCTGCAAGTGTCCCTGCAGCGAGGGCCGCTAGCTTGTGGAATGGCCTTCCTAGGAAAGCACTGGTAATCTTGCAGCTTGATCCCTTTACAATTGGACTTAATGATGCACTTAATAGATTGTAGGCAACAACTTTGCACTGGCAGAAGAAGGGGTGTTCTGTGCCTGTGCTGCTCTCATCAGCGGTTCTGGAAGAGCCCTCATTTGTCAGAAATTATTCCAAATATCAGGGATAGGCTTCCAGGGCTGCTCGTGGTCTAAGACTTCTCAGGTTGATGGAACTGCTTTTTGAAAATGGGATTTGCGAGTTCCTGTTGGAATCGTGAAGGAGTTCCTCTGTGCTGCAGGAGGTTGAAGCCCGTTGGAGCGCAGGGCTCCTTGGCTGAGCTCCAAGCAGATCCTGGCTCTCCCGCATCCCGCCGGTGTGACAGCGATGCTGGGGAGGTGGCACGACCTCCGCTCTCCCGGGCACTGCTGGTGGCACTTCTGGGGACATCGCCCATGCAGGAAGAGGTGACAGGACCCTCCAGATGGGAGCTCTTCAGGCGTTCAGAGATGGAGATGGCCAAGAGCAGAGCCCCTGGACCTTGCCTTGCTCCCGGTGCCCCGGCAGGTGATGGGCAGAGCCCGGTCTCAGGTCCGTTTTCCCTGTGCGGAGATGAAGGCAGCCCTGCGGCACAGGGGGACGCGGAGGCGCCTGGGTGGCCTTGCCCTGGCCGTGGTGCCGGGCTGGCAGGCTGCCCGTGGCACCCGTGGCCTGCTGTCACCACCGGGCAGCGCGGCGCTGCTGCCGTCCTGGCCCCCTGCTCCGTGCGGATCCACGGGGAGCTGCAAAGGGGTCGGAATGCACAAAGAGCCTGGGGACAAGCGGCTGCTGCGGGGAGGGCTCCCTCTCCCGCCCGGGTGGCCTTTCCGCGGTCCTTAAACTTCGTGCTTGGGAGCTGGGGATTCCTTGGGAGCAGGTTTGTTGTCCCGAGCCTGTGCTGGGGAGAGGAGCAGGGGTGTGAAATGAGCATCTGCCGAGAGCGCCGCGTCTAGCTGCAGTTTCTAACACTTAGCTATAGGTGTTTAACTGTTTTTCATCTCACCTTCAATGGGATATAAAACCTTTTAGGGCTCCCAAGCATCTCGCTGGGCTCCTGCAGGGCTGCTCGGCTCCTTTGCGAGGGAGGCGGTTTGTGTGTGGTCACCGAGCGGAGACCTGTGCCCATGGGCTGTGAGCGATGCGGAAGGGGCCGGCTCCTGTGCGCAGGGCTGCTCCCTCCTCGCCCGTGGCTCTCGGTGAACAGCCTGTAGCCAGCCCTTGCAGAGCAGATGCTCTTTTCCTTGCAGACTTAGCAAAGAGCCCCTCCAAGGACCTGCCCTGCTGTCTGATGATCCTTCTTGCTATTGATGGAATTATTCCTTTCCGGCTCAGTTCTGTCCCCTGGCAGTGCTGCAGTTTTCCCCATCCCCACGAGCCGAGCAAGGGCAATGCCAGTGCTGGTCCCCTGTGCTCCTCCCCGCCTCGTCGCATCCTTTTAAGTCTCTCCATTTGGGAACTGCGTCTCCAGAGCAAGTGATGTTCATCCCAAGTGCTGCCAGTGACACTTATCATGGGCACTGAAGCAATCCTCGGCGACGCCGGCAAGGACGCGGCGCTCGGCTCTGTCAAGGCTTTGCTGCTGCCGGGAGCTCCCAGTGCGTCACGCCAGTGTGTGTGCCGGCTGTTCCCGGCTGGGCTCCGCTGGCACCGGTTGGCTCCGCTGGCAGCGGCGCGGGACGGCAGCGGCGCGGCGGGGGCAGCTCCCGCGCTCTGCCGGAGCGGCCGGGCGCCCGTGGCGCTGCGAGCGGCGGCATGCCGGGCGCTGCCCTCGGCTCGCGTGCCCCGCCTGTTTATTTTTAATTAAACTGCTCCCAGCCTCGCTCCGAGCAGCTCCCCGGCCCCGGGAGCGGCGGCGCTGCCGCGGGGAAGGTCAGCGGTGCCGATAGCCATCTGGGCCAGGTGGAGCAACCAGTTCTGCAGCCCGAGAGGGTGCGGCAGGGAAGGGCCCACAAAGGCCCCTGTAGTTCTCCGGGAATGATACTGTGAGTCAGGCAGCCTCAAATAGCAGCTCTCGTTTGCTCTGTAACCTGCTCGCTTGTTTGCTTTCTGCAGCGGTGACAGAGCAGCGCCCGGAGAGGCGAGCGCCGAGCCTGGCTCGGCGGGTGAAGCCCTCGAACGTGATCCCGTCCCTTCCCTGCCCTTCTTGTCCCGGCAGCCTTAGGTGAAGCCTTGACCTTGGTTTGTGGACCTGCCCGTGCGTTTCCAGGCAGGGCGGCCGTGGCTCTGTGTATACAAACACGCGGGTGATTCAGGCGCTCTCCGCCTTGCTGCGCCGCGGGCGCTGCTGGGGTTTAAGCTGCAGGTGCCTCTGGATGCGAAGCCCTATGGAGCAGGAGGGAGCTGGGAGCGGAGCAGCTCGGAGCTTCTCCTGCAGCTGCAAAGCCTCCCTGCAGCACCAGGCATCGGTGCGAGGGTGCAGAGCCTATTCCAAGCCATTCCCGGAGGATTCAGACCGTCAGGTTACCGTGCTGTCCTTGCCACCAGCTGCATGTGATGGTCTCACATTGCTCCATGTCCCCAAGGAGCCCCTTTGGCTGGGACAGGGATTGTCCCCGGGCTCCCTGGTGCCCGGAGGGGCCAGGAGCACTCCCTGCACCCCAAGCCCCTGGAGCAGGAACCCCCCAAGCAGCAGGAGCGAGCGGAGCAGACACCAGAGCCAGTGGCAGGAGCGGGTCCCGCTCGGGCACCGTGGGGCTCCGGGCACGGCGTGTTGGGGCAGGAAGCGGCTGCTCCCGGCCCGGGCCGCAGCACAATGCGGCCGGCGCAGGAAGGAAGCGCGAGCGGGAGCAGCCTCCCCCAGCCGGGATCCGCTCCCCGTCCCGCCTTGGGAAGGCCCTGCACCCTGTGCTCCCCCGGCACGTTTCCCAATGAAACTGCCCGCACTTGTGCCGCGATGCTGGGGCCAGCCCCGAGCAGCGAGCGTGAGGGAAGGGCTGGTATTGCTGCTGCGCCCCGGGCAGGGAGCGGGCCGGAATGCGGCCGGGCCGGGGCAGCCGCGGTGCCGGCTTTCCAGGGGCTGGGTGCGGGAATGTGCGCGCTGCACCCGGAGCACCGGCGCTGAGCTGCCTGTTCCGTGGTGCTGGGCACGCTCCTGGCTCGGCCCTGCTCCCACGTCAGCAGAGCAGGGAGGAGAGGAGGTGGCGTGAGCTGCGCAACAGCAGCGGGGAAGCCGCCCTTGCTCCTCAAAGAAGCCGCAGCCAAGTTGTGCCGTTGCATCACTGCTCGCGGTGGGAATTTGTGCACTTCCCATGGTCTAGCTCAACCGGAGAGCAATTTCCTGGAGGTCCCCTAGACGTAACCTTTTGCCCAGACCTTGCCATTCATCCGTGCGGCAATTCAAAGCCGGGCGCCGCTGCAGGCGGCTCCGCTGTGCTCAGCGCCTGGCAAACAGCGCTGGGAGGGACCTGTGCAGCGCGGCCACCAGCTCAGGGTGCTGCGTCGCGAGCACTGCTGCGTCACCGCCCTCCACCACCATGGACCCAGCTCCGTGGGAGAACAGCGGCTCCTTTCTCCTCCGCGCGCTGCCGATCCCACCTGGCTCCGTGCCCAGGGCTGCCTTTTGTTTCCACCTTTCCCGGCTCTGCCCTTGCTTTGCAGAGGGCGGTGGGACGCCCTGTGCGGGCACAGTGTGCCCGTTGCGCCAGCCCTCACCCCCAGCAAAGAGCTGCTGGGCCGAGGTGCTCCTAGCAGGCAGGGCAGCTGGCACCGTGCGTGGTGGTGGCAGCGTGTGACCCTCGAGGACGGGCTGGCCCTGCGGCCGAGCCTGGCCCTGCGGCCGAGCCTGGCCCTGCACCAGCTCCCCAGCTTAGCAGGTTGTTTTTGCAGCGGCGAGAAGCCGGGTCCGCTCGTCCTGCTGGTATCACAGCTGGGTTTGGGTCGCGCTATAGAGGTTGTCTTGCTCTGCACCCCGGAGAGACCCGTCCTGCAAGTGCCTGGGCAGGGGCAGCCGGTGCCATGAGGTCAGGCTCTGCTCCCGCCAGCCGCTCCAGCGGCTCCCGCGCTCCGGGGCCGGCTCCGGCCTCCTTGGGGCTTTGCTGAAGGAAGCCAGGCACTGGCTTCCAGGAATGGCAAAGCGCGAGTAACTGAATGCATTTTAAACTGAAATAAACGTGGATCCGAGCAGTCTGGATCCATCTGTCGTGAACAGCCCTTGCTCCCGCCGCGCTCCGTGGCTCCCAGCGCGGGAGCTGCCTGGCACCGGGGACCTGTGGTGGCTTCATTAGCGGCTTGTCGGCTCCAGAGCCCGTCCCGCAGCGTCACCGCAGTGCACGGTGTCCGACACGGTGCCAGGCAGGCTCCGCAGCACACTCTGCTCTCCGCATCCCGCCCCTCCATCCCCCGGTGCCGGCGCTGCGAGCGCTCCAACCGTGCCTCGTCTTTGCAGGAGACGTCCTCTTCCAGATGGCAGAAGTCCACCGGCAGATCCAGAACCAGCTCGAGGAGATGGTGAGTGCTGCTGGAGATGGTGAGCAGCTCGGCCTCTGCAACGGGGACACGCTGCGCGCCGGCTCGGCCGCTTCCACCGCGCGCGCCTCTGTCCGAGCGTCCATCTGTCCCTCACTGCTGTCCCTCCTTCCGTGCCCGGAGCCGAGCTCTGGCCTCCCTGCCTGGCCCCGTGGCCACCCGCGTGTCCCTGGCTGCTCCGGGGCTGCCTTTGTGCCGTCCTCGATGCCTCTCCTCCTGTGGGCACCAAAGACAACGTCTGTTTTCTCCTTCCCAGCTGAAGTCCTTCCACAACGAGCTCCTCACGCAGCTGGAGCAGAAGGTAGAACTGGACTCCAGGTACCTGAGTGTAAGTACGAGGTGTAGGGGCCTGTCCCGGCCCTTCTGCGCCCTGGGGGTCCCGCGGGGGGGTCCCGGGCCTTGCTGCTCACGCTCTCCCTCCCGCCGTGCTCAGGCCGCGCTCAAGAAGTACCAGACGGAGCAGAGGAGCAAGGGGGACTCGCTGGACAAGTGCCAGGCGGAGCTGAAGAAGCTGCGCAAGAAGAGCCAGGGCAGCAAAAACCCGCAGAAGTACTCGGACAAGGAGCTGCAGGTAGGACGCGGCGCCCGGGGCCGCTCTGGGCATGCCGGAGCCGGACTGGGTCCTGCGGGATCTGATAGCGCCCCCCAGTTTTCTTGGGAATCAGGGGAATGTTTTCTTTGGAAAACTCGATGCAGCAGCACGAGGCGGTGTAGGAGCCTTGCAAACCACCCGCTGGCGCCTGCTTGGCCTCGATGGTCTGTCATCCAAGACAGAGTGACCGCAGCAGGTGCTGGGCTCCAAGGACAAGATCCTGGGGTCCTTGGAGCACAACCCGCTCCAAGGTTGCGCTTGGCACTAGTGTTTCCAGCAGGGAGGATCCAGGGCTGGCATCTTGTGGCTCTGCCCTGTAACACTCGCTGCTGAAGCCCTTGAATGATCACTGCACTGACAGCGGGTATGGAGCAGAGGGCTAAGAATTAATCCCTAAGGCAGAAATTGCATTAGATTATGGATTATGCCGGGACCAGGGCCTGCTGCTTCAGATGTGATAGGCTGATAGCGCGTCCTGTCTTTTCTTGCAGTGATCTAAACGCGACGGCGCTTTGCTAGCGGGGCTGTGTGCGGAATGGCATTTACAGTGGCACTTAAATCGTGGGTAGTCAGAGGGAAGGTGATGCAGGGAAGTGACTTCTTAATTGCATGAAAATTTGGGGAATCAGTCGTTCTCTTGGTAGCGTGAATCAGAATAAGGAGTGAAGGAGGAAAAACACCTAGGCAGTCATTCCTGGCGGCTCTGCGCCCATCTCCTGCAGGGCTCTGGGTTGCACTCGTGCTCGTTTGCAGCCTCCCACTCCCAAGGCCGCTGGAATTGCTTGCACAAGGCCCGGTTAATGCGAGCGCCTTTGAAGGCTGCCGGGTTGTCAGACTCGGTGCTTCCTGGGGCAAGGCTGGCACTTTGCTGCAAGCCGAGCAGTTTAGGCCACGGGCACCGCTGCAAGTCTTCGCGTTTGCTGAAGGAGGAAGGGCTCGTGTAGCGGTGAGCAAAGGCAAACGCCGGGCACCAAAACTGGTCATTGCTGCATTATCCCCTTCCCTGCCAGTGCTGCAAGAGGGGCAAGCGATGCAGCTGCCTGTGGAGCCCTTTGCATCCCACCTAACCCGCTGGGGATGCCCGGAATGAACAGGGATCGATGCCGCCTCCGTGCCCGGCTTTACGCAGCCCGGAGGAGGGACGAGGTGGGACCTGTGCCCGGAATGACCGCGATGGGGGCAGCTCTGCCCGTGCAGCCTCGCTAGGCAGAGATAGGGAAACAGGATCAGGCTTTCGTTCCCTTAATCTTCCAACAGTAAGTATTTGGGAAGCGCTTATCTCTCTGAAAAAGCCTTATGATGGCTTTTAAGCTTAAAGAGCTGTGAAACTACTCAACTGCGAGCTGCTTTTTTTTTTCCTTCCCTAAATCCGAATACAAAGTTGGAATTGCTGAATTGTCAAGAGGGGCATTTTTCTTGTCTTCTGTGCTAGTTAGCATGCTGATTATTTCATACTTTGGACAGGAAAAGAGCAGGGGAAAAGGGTGTTTCGGGCACCCCTCGCTGCTCTTGCGGCTTTCCCCGTTGGCAGCCCCAGCCCGCTGTCCCGGGAGCGGCTCCCCGCGCACCGTGTGGTGCATTCAGCAAACACCTCCCTCGTGCAGTTCACCCCAAACCCGGCAGCGATTTTCCCCAAGGGAGCTGCTGCGCTTTGCTGCTGTTTTCCCTGGCCGTCTTTGCGGCCGACTCGTGAAGCCGCCGGCCGAGGGAGGCCGCGGCGGAGGCTGCTGGAGGCTCGCGGGAAGCGGAGGCCCTGCCCCACTGAGCCGCTGCGTGGGGAGAGGCGGCCGAGCAAACCGCAGCTGAGCAGAGCTCTCCCGGTGCCGCGTTGCGGAGCGCTCTGCTCGTGGGGGAAGCTGCTGTTGGCAGAGATTTGCTGGTAGCTACATAAGTCATTGCGCTGAATGAAGCAATAAAATCTTGTTTCTTTGGAAGACTCATCCGCTTAAGTTGCTGTAGCACTTAGCAGCCAGGAATCTGATGCTCTGTCATCATCTCTCTTCGTATTTAATGTTACGGGAAGCATAATCGCTCCTTTTTTTTCCTTTTCACTGCATGTTGAGTGGCCACGTTTTGTCATTGTGTGCAAGTAAAGCAGAGGCTGGAAATGGAGCCCTGGGAGACTGCCCTGCTCCAGCCCCCCATGTGCATTTGCTATAGGGTGACCTTGCTGTGCTGAGGTGAGACGAGCTTAGAGGCCGCTCGGGTTTGCAGGTAGAGACAGCCCCAGGACACTGGTGACATAGGCTCAGCCTGCCCAGGCTGCGCTGGGTTGAGCCCAAGAACCCAAACCTCATCCTTGCTGAGGCTCTTCCCTAGATTCAGCCTTTTCCCCTCTATAGAGGCAAAATAAATGCTGGTGCTCAGCACTCCCTGCACTGTAAGCCTTGAGTTGCACATCTGCTGTCTCCCGTGCTTGTTTTGCACCTTAATAGATGAGAAAGGGCTTCACAAGATTCAAATAGTTCAGAATTTAAAGCATCTTGTGGAGGTTTTTCAATAGAAAGACCTGGGTAATTTAAGAGCAGCTCAGAGTGCAATTAATCTGCCGTAATGGTCTCCCATTAGCAAAGCTCTGGTCTGTCACGGTCAAGACTGTGGCTGTGGTTTGGGCTGTTGCTGTGTGTGTCCCAGGAAAGTGCAGAAGATCTCTGTGATTCACGAGGAAGGAAAGTTTTGATTGCAACAAGACACTCATGGGCTCAGATCTGTCACCTAAGTTACCTGGTTATTGGGGGATTTTATTAAGGGCTTTTTTTTTTTTTTTTTTT